AACACAGCTCTGATAGGTACTTGACTCAAGTCAGGTCATTGAGTTGACCACACTATCTCTTCATAATGCGAGGTCATTGAAACAGATGAGCTATAATGTTTCTACCCCATTACTACATCTCATCTACATTACTACTCAATCTTCTGGGGCTTGATAGTTTCTTGGTAATACTTTATGGATAATTTGCATAATGGAGTTTAGAAATTAAAAATTACTTCGAAACATTTTTTGAACGAATACAATATGTAAAACATATTGCAAAAATTCGACGGTGCCTTATAAAGATAGTTAAAAATAAGCATTTGATTAATGTTGTTACATTTCTAAATTGCTTCGACAGCTTTCATAATTAACAAATAACGTATTTCCTAATTTTACAAGCTTTTATTTAGTTTGCAACGTCTGTTTGTTTGTTTGAAGGTATGTGACAAATCACTTAACTCAATTTTGACCTGTTTCTAATGCAGCGATTTCATTGAAAACTTTCCAGATACGTCCCAGTTCGATGGCAATACTTGTCTATTAGGTTTATTAATTTACTTAGATGTTTAATTAGTCATTAAAAATTTATTAAATGGCTGTTAAACAAAGGGGAGATAACAAAATTGAATTACTCGATAGCTTACTATATTCAATAACAAAAGCAACATGCTTTTGAATGCACTGAAAATAAGAAAAAAAAATCTGTTGTCTGTCATAAAAGCTATTGTCGTTCATTAATCTTTACATACTTTAGCAACAATAGCTTTTATGATAGAAAGCAGAGAGGTTTTATTTTCTTACTTTTAGTTCTTAGAGAAGCTTGCTGCTTAAAACTTATATTATTTTGTTTTATTTAATTTTGACTTATAAAGACATATTTACCCTACTTAGTAAACAAATGTTTAGCCTGACATACATAAAATGATAAATAAATATTTAGCATAACATTATTAACTTAGTAAATACCTTTGTAAACAAATGTCTAGCCTGCCGTGTGATGCTCAGAGCGGAAATACTCTCGCTTCCCGCCGATTCACCGCCTACAGTAACGTCGTCTGCGTCCCCTCCAAACGACCGGATGTTGTCCTTGACCCATTTCAAGGCCAAAATCTGATCCCAGAAGCCCTGGTTCCCCGGATAATCAGAGCAGTTTCCTTTCAAAAACCCCAAATAGCTGAGGCGATAGTTGAAGGTCACCACAATGACATCATTCTAAGTACATTAAAATTTGATGTAAGATGGATAAATTAATGCAATTAGCTAATTAAATATGAATAATTTATATTCAGAAACCTAGTTTGCGATCTGAAAATGTATAATTTTAATAACTGTTAAAAATCATTTTTTTTAAATTTAGCCAAATAGTTTTTGTTTTAAATTTTACTTTTGTAAGAGAGATTTTTATACACGAAATGAATATGTGCAACATCACCTAATTCAGGGGTCTCCAAACTTTTCAGTCCGAGGGCCGTATTAACTATCAAATTTCAGTTCGGGGGCCATTTTCTTCCGGGCATGTCTTCGATTTTTCTGGGCAAACTTCCTCAGCCATCACCAACAAACGATTTTTCATTGGACAAAAAGATCTCCGCGGGCCGGATGAGAGGACTTCGCGGGCCGTAGTTTGGAGACCCCTGACCTAATTCAATCATTCCGTTATTCTTTGAAATGTGAGTTTCAATGCGATGACTAAGAAATTTTATAACGTTTAGCATTATTATCGCAGAACAGTAGTGATTGTATATAACCAAAACAAAACCTATAAAAATTACCGCTTATAGAAACTTACCTGGGAAACCAAATCGCCAGGTACTTGTAGGTTAGCTGACCCCAAGAAATACGCCCCGCCGTGGATATACACCAGAACCTTTTTCAGCTTTCCCTGAATTGAAGATTTCAGCTTTTCTTAAAATGCATGTTGATTTAACTTTCCCTGATTAGAATTTTTTATTTTGGTTTCACTGAAAAGAATTACTAAATGAAGCTTTCACTACATATTGTATACACCTATTACTGAATTAAAACTTTTCAGTTACAAAACAATATTGATTTTACTATTTTCTGAATGTAAGATTTTTTCACCAATTCCGGAATAAAAACTTTCTCCAACTTTTAATGTATATTTATTTTTATAGCTAATATATTAGCATAAAAACTGTTTTCAGCTTTCTCTAAGTCTATTATAAATTCTAAGATCAATATACTAGTACAAAAGATACTTCAAGAGAATAAAATAGTGATACGTAAACAAAGTTTACTGAGATAAAAGTATATCCCAACCTCTTTGTTATGACGTGGAACATACACGTTGAGGTAGAGACAGTTTTCATCAGCTGGAGCACCAAGATCTACACCAAGGGGCTGTATACACACTGGGCCCGTATGTATGGCGTCGTATGTACCCTAAGAGAGTAATAGCATTTCAGACTTTTCGAGTCATTTTCTCAATACGATGATTTTTATACAATGAAGCTGATAAGTATTTGTAGGACGGTGTGGTGGAGTAGTAGAGCGCTCGACTGCTTATTCCGAAATTCTCAAGTTTGTAGCACGTTCCTGAGTTCACCCAGCTCTAATGGGTATCCGATACGTTAGGAAAAGTAAAATCGTATTGGCGTAGTGCTGACCACACCAACGCCTCATATGCAGGGGCAAAAAAAAAATATAAATTCTACCTTATCTGCCTTAGGAATATGTCTGAAATGAGAACGTCACATTAATAATAACCGAGAGTCATGAAAAATGTGATGAGACTGATTTCTTCTGAAGCGAGAAAATCGGACTTTGCCATTTTTTCCAACCTGTCTAGCTTGTGGAGTGTTGGGATGCCTCCTGGGGTGAAATAATCGTGTTTAGTATCTTTTCTACCGCAGAAATAAACAATTTTAAACTTACGCTTATCGGTGGGTAAGGGATGGGTTTAGCAAATCTGAGAGTCCCTGTGGGTGGTAGCGCGAACGGGATCCCCAGAAAAGCGTTGTAGCTAAGTCCAGCTGGCGAGGTGAGGGTCGTACCACGGTACTTGCCGCTGGGTGAGGTGACGGTGGGGTCAGGGGACAGGGCGTGGCACACGTACAGACACAGCATCAGCAACAACAGCAGCATCCTGGCTGTGATAACAAACAAACTGGACTCAGTGACGTTCTAAGTTTTGGGTATCCATTAGAGCTGGGTTGACTCAGGTACGTCCTACTGGTAAGGTACTCTCAAAGCTAGGTCGACAAATTAAGGTTCTACGAATAAAAAAAATATTTTCTTTCAAATACATAAGTTCTCCACCAATTTAGGTACTGTTACACAGGCGTAAATTAGCTAAGGTTTTAAAAAAAATATTTAAACATACCTTATAAGAATTTATCTCTGAAATAAAACTGTCTTGAGGTTTCAATAGAAAAAATCCATTATGTCAAATACCAAACGTTATTATATAGAAAAGAAAAAAACACTATTTCTTTAAAAATATCATTCACATACAGCGTTTCAGGAGCAACTATATATCAAGGTATTTAAAAAAATGTCAACAATCGAAAGTGTACTGTATCATATACAAACCTGTTGATTAAATATTGACATTTATTTTTTTATAACCTTAGTCTGCCTGTTTTTATTTGTTCATTGATCGAGTCAAATAGCAATAAATGCACAGGACCAAGTTATCAGATGTTGACACAGTGTGCCTTTTGACTTTTATTTGCTATCTCAAACGTCTAATGATACTCTCAAAGAAACATGAAGATAACGTCATATATATATATATATATATATATATATATATATATATATATATATATATATATATATATATACATTGTTATGTGATCGTATTGATTGCACTAAATCGATCTGTGACAATATATGGTGCTGATATTGTTTAAAATATCGCTATTTTAGATGCCTCATCTTAGCTTATTTGCGGAAATATCTGATACCAGACATGTATAAAATATCCCATAATTTGATAATACGATAGAGTTTAAACCCTCGAGAAGGTGAGGCTCAAGAGCTGGTGACAGCAACCCATCTAGGAGAGACAACTCCAAAATCAAACAACTGTCCACGGCTAAATGACGCATAACAAGTTGACACGTATATTTTTGTGTTGAAGATAATCCCTTACAACACTAAAGTAAGAACGAAGAAGAAAGGTAACAATATAAAATCAGACTAAGGCAATGGAGGAGCAGTTTGAAATATCACTTCGCTCAATATCTCTTAAAAAATCTTCAGTAAAATGTGTTTTTTAAAAAGAAAATTACTTTGTAAGTGCGTGCTCAATAGCACTTAAGCTCTAACACTTATTAGTATAACGCATTTATATTTTTTTCCCTACCTTATTGGCTTTTATAAAAACAAACTTCTAATAAAATCTTGATGCGTTGATTTTTTATAATTTCAAACTTTTTTTTTAATCTCAGCTATATTTACAAAAATGTCAATTGCTATTTGATAACTGAGCAATAACAACGTATAAAAACTTGTCACATCTAAAACTATGACAAATATTCCGGAAACGAAAATCTCTTAGAATTAGAATCTTATGATAAACTCTTTATAGCTTCACACGGCGAAATATATCGCCTTATTACATAATTAAGGGAGAAAAAAAAAACTATTATTAATTACAAACATGAAATCATCTTGTAGTCTTAAATAGCTCATGTTTTCGCTATCAACGAACACCTAGTTTAATGAAGGAAAGATCCAATGGGTTTAAGCAGAAGAGATAGAGTTCAAACCTATATTATGTCTAGAGGCTCTATTCAGTTTTATTATTTACAAAAGAAAAATGTCAAACGAGCCTTTATTTTGAACCAATATTCCGCCTGGAATTTATAATTTGTTTTAATTTTCCACATCTCGCTTTGAAGTTTTTTAGAGTGTATTAATGAATTTCTTACGAAAATGTCAAATGAGCAAAAATTTTTAAATACAACTTTCACTCAATGATAAAAAATTGAAAACAAAAAAATCCAACTGTTGATGTAACACGTTTACTACGTATAGTTGTATTTCTAGATGTCTTCGCATATTTGTTTGCACCTCACAGCGAAAGACTAGAGATTATCATTGAATTGTGTGTGCCAGAAATTTTTTCTTTGATTGATGGGGTGTTGCAAGACGGCAGGCTTATCGCTGAACTCTAGGAAATTCTCAGACTGCCCATCGTAAGGTCTCCATGTAATGTTCAAATCCTTGGACAATGACACACCCGGATTTCTGAAAAACGTGTTACGATATGGTTTGATATTTTTTTAGTACCTAAGTTATACAAATATTTTTGTATAAAAGAACATTGCAAGTAAATCTTAAATCTAAGAAGATGTATTCAATGGTGTAAATTAAAGTCAAATGCATATAATCGAAAGTTAAATTTAAAAACCAACTATACTTTATGGAAATCGGACGTGTTTATAAAGTTAAAATAAACCGTATATAATCAAAGTAAAAATGTTTATCTTTAAAAGCTCCATGTATATAATCTAAGTAAATATTAAGCTACCCCTTTGAAGTTGGCGGTCGATAGTGCCGGTGAAGTAGAATTAACGTGTTTCTGTGAAGTCGGCGTAGTGTCCTCAGAACTACGCTCAGCTACGTGTAGATTTCCTTTCATGCGTCAGGTACCCATTAGAGCCTAGTAGACTCAGGAACATTCCAAATATTCGAGTCTAAGACCTAAACTAGAAAAACGGCTTACTATCCCTTCACATTACAACACTACCATGCCCTCCCTTATATAACCTGAACTAACTGGTGTAAATAACAAAAGCTAAGGCTGTGTATAAACACAAAGTCACCTACCCACTGCACATGAAGTCTTTTATAATTCTCATATACCGTATCTTCATACGCACGTCCGTCAACTGAAAGCTCGAATTCGTCTCCAGGTGGTAGTAGAGGGTCAGCAGATCACGTGGTCTCAGGTCAAACAGGTAACAAAGGTCAAATGAGTGGGGGAAGCCTTTTAGTAGTGGTGGGAGGTAAGTGGGGAAGTAGTTGAACCTCATGTAGTAGGCCTTGTGGGAGGTGGCTGTAATACATCAAGCATTTTTTTAAGTTTTTGATCTAGTAGGACTTATTAATTTATGCTAAAATACATCAAATTTTAAAGGTTTTAGGTTTTTGTTGGCTGCTGAATTTTAAATAAACGTTGCACTCAGAAGTTTACATTTTACTTTATATTTTTTTACTTTTCTGGCTATCTTCAAATTTCAAGAGGAGCATAGGACTAAGAGAAACTTTTGCCAAATGAATGTTTGGAGATATCGCGAATGCTGTATGTGTACAATGGTTTATTACATTTTCATACATTTTGTTATTGTATTTTTTGTTTACGTTAACGTTAAGCATTGCAGTTTTTTGCTTGTATTGTGTAAAAAGCTATATACTCTTAGATAATACTATTCCGATAATTTATTATCGTAAAATTTTCTAAAATACATCAGATTTTAAAGGTTCTGGGACTTTTTGTTAGGGGCTAAATTTTAAATAAAAATTGCACCCAGAAGTTTACATTTTACTTTAAAAAATTTTAATTTTCTTCTTTAATTCCTATTCCACGAGGAGCATTGGACTAGGAGACACTTTGCCAAATGAATGCCCTTACTTTGCCCTAACCCTAACCCTTTAACCATAATCAGGTATTCCCCGTTTTCTCTCAATCGATTAAGGCCGCGAAGTTTTCGCTATTCCACACAAAAACCTGCCTGGTGATGCTAATATTGGCATTCTTCGGACGATGCCATATCCACCTCTATTTCTTTGTCACTTTTTCTTTTATTTATATCGACATATTTGTATGATTGTTAAAATATTTTACTGTAAATGTGTCAGTCCTCTTTTATGGCACGGCATAGTCATCCCGCACAACTCTCTTTAGCCAGGAAGTCCTCAAAAGGATGTAAAAACAAGAATTTCTCTTTCTATACAGAGCGACGTTCTAACCCATTTATTTCTAAAAGTCTTTTTCTTCTTCAGTCCTCTCTGGTGCATTAAGACATCGGTGAACAGAAAAATTCGCAACGGAAAATTGCACATAAAAAAAATTGCGCACTCGGAAAAATTCGAACGCACAAACAATTATGCGCATAAAGAAAATTGCCAAAACAGGAATATTTGCAGGGTAATAAAAATATATACAATTGTTTGCAGCTTTCAGTGTTCGTAAATTATTTGTGTTTGTGTAAATGCCCGTGTGCGTATCTTTTTGTTGCGTATGTTTTTGTGAATTGATAACACCTATTTAGTCGAGGAGGGCGTCTTTTGGGGTGATTGGGACGAAAAGCGATCTGGTGAATTATATGGTAACTGGTACATTTTATCTAATAATAAAAACAATAATAATAGAAATATGGTAAAATCAACAAACACGTACCTTGAGAGGAAAAAATCCTTAACAAGTTGAGTTCAGGTATGGTAAAAACCAGGTCTCCCAATATAGCATACAGGGGGAGGAAAGGTAAATCGAGACTACTGTAAAAGTCTAGCATGGTTTGTATAGTGGAGACAGGTTGTGGGATTACCTGACTCAACTGGCTAGCGGTGACGTTCTTAGGATCTAAAAGGTGAAAATTGAAAAGTTAAAATGTGATGGCTGTGACGTTTCATGTGTCTTAAGTGTAAAAAGTCACAAGCTAAAATTGGATGGCTTTAGCGTTTCATAAGTTTAAAATGTCAAAAGTCATTAGCTGAAATTGGTTTTTTTTTGTTGACTCTGATGGGTGTTGTTGTTTGGTAACATAGACAAATATTCAAACGCTTATAAAATTTTATTTAATTTAAAGATCTTACTACTTTACACCGACTACTTACCAAGCCCAGTAGCGAACACACCCAAGCAAGATAATCGATCCTTCTATGCTGACCGATTCAAATCTACTTACCCAGCCCAGATGCGAACACCCCATGCAAGACAATCGCTCCTTCGTTACTGACAGAGCTGACGAGATAATCCCTCTCGAAAAAGCCCACCTCCTTCAGATAACTCGTGTTCTTCACCAGCTGTGCTATGGGGGCCGGGAACAGTTCCCCGTCCACGGAGACCAACAATGTCCTCAGGTTCAAGGCCACGGGTAAAACATAGGAGCTTGCAGGTAGTGACTGCAGACAATGAAATCTCTTGGACGGATCTTGAGACTTGCATCCCACAGTGTTTGCTAGGGAATTCCGAACGATCTCATCGCCGTTGTTGAGTGAGTACAAGTTAGAGAACACTGTCCCGCTCAGCATGATTGCCTGGAATTTTTTATCATGTTTTTGTTAAACGTACACAGTTTAGTAAACAAATTCTAGGTTTGACGTAACATACATTAGTAGACAAATGCTAAGTCTGACGTAGAGAAGTTAGTAAATAAATGTTTACCCTGACTTAAATACCCTAGTAAACAAATGTTTACCCTGGCATAAATACCTTAGTAAACAAATGTTTCGCGCACGTGCATAGGCCTACCTTTCTAAAGAAATGTCTAGCCTGCCGTGTAATGCTCAGAGCGGAAATACTCTCGCTTCCTGCCGATTCGCCGGCTACGGTAATGTCGTCTGCGTCGCCTCCAAACGACCGGATGTTGTCCTTGACCCATCTCAAGGCCAATATCTGATCCCAGAAGCCTTGGTTTCCCGGATATTCAGAGCAGTTTCCTTTCAAAAACCCCAAATAGCTGAGGCGGTAGTTGAAGGTCACCACAATGACGTCATTCTGATTATATAAAATATTGATGTAATTTTGGTAAATTAATATCAATACCTAATTAAATATGAAAAATGTATTTTATGAAACAAAGTATGCGATGAAAAATATACAATTCTGATAAGTGTCGTAAAAACATTTTCTAAATCTTGCCGTATAATATTTCTAATGTTTAAACTTTTATTCTTGCAAAGACAAAAATTTCGATACGCGAAATACGTCTGTACACAATTCAGACTTGTCCTTATTGATTCAGATGCGTTCTTCCATGCGACAACTAAGATTTTGAGTAAAGTGTTTAATCATTCATGATGTCCCGTTGCTGTTGCGTATAACTAGAGAAATTGTAAGGTCTTCGTGGGCCCTAGGTACTTTTTGAATTCGTAGGCCCAACACGCAACTGCGGCCCTACATGTAAACCAGATCACGTATCTGTTATATCTCAATAGCTTTTATATTGGTTGCATATAAGCAAAAAAAATTGATTTGTTTAATTAAGTCGAAAACGTTATTAGTTGTTTATTTTATTTTTTCTCCCTATTTCATTTTCTGATTTTCGTAGACTCTACAAGTTCGCAGACCCCATGCACTAAATCAAACCTTATTAAACTTAATGCTGACAGGAACTTACCTGGGAAACAAAATCGCCCGGCACTTGCTCGTTTGCCGATCCTAAGAAATACGCCCCGCCGTGGATGTACACGAGAACTTTTTTCAGCTTTCCCTGAATAAAAAAAAATGTTTAGCTTACCATAAACAAAACGTTTTTTTTTTTTTTTGCACTCCCTGAATAAAAAATATCTAGCTTAACATAAAAAAAGGTTGTTTTAAGATTTCCTGAATAAAAAATGATTAGCTTATCAAATACAAAAAGCTTTTTTTTTACAGATTTCACTGAATAAAAACAATATTTCGCTTACCTTAACTAAAAAGGTTGTTTTTTTCAGCTTTCCCTTAATATGTTTTTTAATCTTTCCCATAAATAATTTGTTTTAAAAACGTTTTTTTTTTCTGACACAAACTTTTTTTTCTAGCTTTTCCTAAATAAAAGAACTGTCAGCTTTCATAAATAAAAGTTTTTGTTTTAAATCTTTCCCAAAATAATTTTTTTTTCAGCTTTCCCTTAATAAAAACTTTTTAAAATCAACCCTCACTAAATAAAAATAACTTTTTTTCAGCTTTCCCAGACTATAAACATTTTTTAGCTAAACTTAAAGCTGTAATATTAATCCGTACTGTCAAAGTAGGACTAAAAAACTGCTTTTAATTGTCCTTAACTATATATATATATATATATATATATATATATATATATATATATATATATATATATATATATATATATATAACTTTATTATAATGTTAGTATTAAATAGGTTTTAAAAGAATGAACATGTTTAACACATCCAAACAAAAAGTTTACTAACATTAAAGTAAAATTTTACCGGTGTTTTTGGAACATACACGTTGAGGTAGAGACAGTTTTCGTCAGCTGGAGCACCAAGATCTACACCTAGGGGCTGTATGCACACTGGGCCCGTATGTATGGCGTCGTATATACCCTAAATATAAAAGAGTACTTGCAGTTAGACTTTTTCGAATTGCTTTTTAATACGATGTTTTTAATTCAGTTCAGGTTGTAGACATTGTGAGAGGGCATTGTCGAGTGGTAGAGCGAACGGTTACCAACCCGATAGCCTCGAGTTCGGATCTCTGACCAGATTAGGGTCTGCAGGGCGTCCCAGCAATGATGGGTACCTGGTTTAGATTAGGGAAAGTAAAGATGGCTGGGCATGGTGCTGACCACACAATTCCTTCGTATGCTTAGGTCAAGAAACATATAAACTCTACTTCATCTGTACAACGGATCGTTAGGTCTGAAAGTGGAACTTTACTTGATTAGCAATTATTCTTAAAGAACTACATAAAATGATATCTCCTAAATCTAGTACATTGGACCGTTTTAAAAATCTAATAAGGAGGAGGGTGCTCCTGGGCCGAAGTATATACGTAAAGTAAGTATCAATTCTACCGCAGATATAAAGATTGTTAAACTTACACGTATATGTGGGTAGGGGACGGGTTTAGCAAATCTGAGAGCCCCTGTAGGTGGTAGCGCGAACGGGATCCCCAGAAAAGCGTTGTAGATAAGTCCAGCTGGCGAGGTGAGGGTCGTACCCCGGTACTTGCCGCTGGGTGAGGTGACGGTGGGGTCAGGGGACAGGGCGTGGCACACGTACAGATACAGCAGCAGAAACGGCAGCATCGTGACTGTGATAACAAACAACAACAACAACTCGTTTAGATATTGTTTGCTGGGTTGTCACGTGATATTCAAAGCAGACTATTTAAAACATCCAAATGATAGTCGCAGCCGATGTTATATATAATTCGTGGTGCAACAAAGGGCATTGACAGATGAAGTAAGAGGTTCGCCGGCCGGCAACCCCTGGCCAAGGACGTAATCGGGTAGGATAATTTTTTTATTTGTTTATGGAAGAATAAAATAGCAATAAACGCTCTAGCCTTTGATATCACCTGTTATCGTTGTGCAGAGTTGGTCTATTATTGCTATCTCCAATATCAAATGCCACTCTTACTAAAGCATGAAGATTGTATCACATGCTGTAACATAGGCAGGAGGGTGTAAGGGGCGAGAACATGCCCCATCTCACCCCCAAAGTGACCCCTTAATGTTACATTACAGCTTTTGGCCACGGCACACTACTAACGCTTTTGAAACTCTCATGTTCGAAATAAGAGTATCATAAAACCGCATTTTAAGTTCTTTAAATCATTATGGAATGTATACATATATATATATATATATATATATATATATATATATATATATATATATATATATATATATATATATATACTTACTTTCTTATTCAGCGCAAAGTTGTATAGTAACTATTTGTCTGCAAAGTGGGCCTTTATCCAACTCAAATGTTTTTGCCAGTTTAAATACATTTGGGTTACCTAGGCTACCTAAAATGTCTGCTCAATATTTTTGGATTATGCAGATGATAATTTTAATTTAACTTATGGGCTGACAAAGGAAGTCTTTTGACCTGGCTAGGCTTACAGAATTGTGTTGCATGTACAGGTGGTAGTTAGTATGCTAATTAGTTTTTGATAATTAGGGTTCTAATTTTTGTTAGGATCCTACATCATTCTTGATTTAGTTACCGAGAAATTTGCACACAATAATCGCGTCTGGGTAGGGCAGTCATGCGGGAGTCGGAGAAGTACAAGCAGGTAAAAACAAATAATGCTCCGTGGTTCTCAAATGTTTTATTTTCTTTGAATTAAATAGGTAATCTCCTTTCGTCATAGCTTGTCACAACTATTTTAAATCATTTTTAGAACCTTTCATTATAGCTTGTCGTTACTGTATTAAATCATTTTTAGAACCTTTCACTATAGCTTGTTGTTACTGTATTAAATCATTTTTAGAACCTTTCACTATAGCTTGTCGTTACTGTATTAAATCATTTTTAGAACCTTTCACTATAGCTCGTCATTACTGTATTAAATCATTTTTAGAACCTTTCACTATAGCTTGTTGTTACTGTATTAAATCATTTTTAGAACCTTTCACTATAGCTTGTTGTTACTGTATTAAATCATTTTTAGAACCTTTCACTATAGCTCGTCATTACTGTATTAAATCATTTTTAGAACCTTTCACTATAGCTCGTCATTACTGTATTAAATCATTTTTAGAACCTTTCACTATAGCTTGTTGTTACTGTATTAAATCATTTTTAGAACCTTTCACTATAGCTCGTCATTACTGTATTAAATCATTTTTCCCACGTTTTCTTTAACTTGCTTTCTCTGTGTGTTTGTTTGTCTTTCCAATCAAATCTTGCGATCGAATTTTCTGGCACTTCCCAGTTAGCTAGCGCGCTGAAATTTTCAGGGAAGCTTTCTTTTGGATGACCATTGAATATTCAATTGTTATTATTACTAAATTGATCAATGGAAACATTTTATTGAGCATTTTAGACCGCTATATAATCTATATATATAATTCTCCTCTGCTAGCCATTAGAAAAAAAACCAGCGACGCGTACCTCGCGCGCAGTGAAGCGAACGATCACATGTCGCCACAGGCTTAGGGGCAGAGAATTTAGCTTGAACCGAGTTTAAACTTACAGGAGGTAGGCCAGTTTGGGGGAGACGATATGGTCGAGTGGTTGGGCACACGATTGCTATCCCACTCGACACGGGTTCAAATCTATGTGTTCTAGTCAGTAACGTATTCAAACAACGTGTTTTTTACGAGTTGTCTTTTTACGAGTTGTCTTTTTACGAGTTGTCTTCGTTTACCCAAAAAAAGTGAAAAGATAAAATCGATAGCAAGATTTTAATGCAAACAAACAGACAAAGACTAAAAAGTAGAAAATAATAATCATTAAAAAAGTTTTTAAAAACCCACGTTTTCTGATTGAACTAAAAAGTAGAAAATAAATGCTATAGGCCCTACATCACAATAATGCAAGCGATCACTCTACTATAAGCGAGCAAAAACGTGGGGCGCCGTGATTTTCTTACAGTTTCTAATACTGTTGACTCTCTACAAGCTCCCTAATAAAAGTCAATAGTATTATCTAATCAATAGTAATATAACTTTTACTTCGGCGCCCCACGTTTTTGATCGCTTATAGTAGAGTGATCGCTTGCATTATTGTGATGTAGGGCCTATAGCATTTATTTTCTACTTTTTAGTTCAATCAGAAAACGTGGGTTTTTTAAAACTTTTTTAATGATTATTATTAGAACCTTTCACTATAGCTCGTCATTACTGTATTAAATCATTTTTAGAACCTTTCACTATAGCTTGTCGTTACTGTATTAGATCATTTTTAGAACCTTTCACTGCTGGCTCGCCATTCAAAAAAAAATTATTCCAGAAACCAGATCCGATTTTGCTATTTTTTTTATATATAAATAAAATGTTGAAATTCTCTTGCCATGCAAACATGGTAATGCGCCAAAAAAGTATCTGATTATAACTAGCAGTGCATGGGTTGGTTGCAGTGACTATATTAACGATTCTTAAGGTACATAGGCGAACAACCAAAAGTAAAATTGAACAGCTTAGTAAAAGTAGTTATGGTTAGTATTATGGTTAGGGATAGAAATAAGGAAGAAAAGTACATCATTAAGGACATGATTGAATAGGGTGGTCGGTATTTCGTGTATGTAGAGACGTTGTGTGACAGGGGTAGGGGGCGGCTTAAAGATGTCAGATTATTGCTTATAGTTTTATTACCATAAACGTATATACATTATATATATATATATATATATATATATATATATATATATATATATATATATATATATATATATATATATAAGTATGTTTATATGCGTATATATATATACATTTTGTACATATATAAAGTATGTATAAGGGGGGGGGGGGTTGGGGTGGACATGTTGTTCTTCATTATACATGCTTCAAAGTCTATGGAACATTCGCTATTTGGAACACGACAAAATATATAACTGTAGCAAAGGATTAACACCCGTAACATGTGTCTATACATGGGACATTCCTCGTTTACAGACGCAGAGTGCGGTGAGGGTCACAATCCATCATGTCTTTCGCAATCGCTTTTGAGACAGGATGAGTAATGAGGCAGACGGAAGTATAGTTCACACATAGAGATGGTGTGATTAACTCTATTCATGGTTATCGATTTTTTTCGGACTCTGATAATGTTTGTGTTGCAGTGTCAGCACATCGACTGTAACATCCGTGTCACAACTGGTAAGTGCAAAATTCAAGCGACGCCAAACGTTACATTAGAAAATATTTACCGCTTGAAATATCCCAGATAAATATAAATAATGGTGTACATGTTTTATAACAGTAGGACACTAGAAGTGGTTCATTATTTCAATCCATTATTTGGAAATCCATGTACAACCCCTGGGCGTTTAGATGAGAAGAGCCAAGTGTTGCATATATATATATATATATATATATATATATATATATATATATATATATATATATATATATATATATATATATATCGAATATAATAGATAATATACAATACACTTTAAAATGTATGTTAATTTTGAAAAGCGCAATAATTATAATAATTGGCACATCGACAAAAACACCCAACTAACCCAAAAAGTTGTTCTATTCTATCGTTGTATAATTTCGGTCGTGATGTTTTTACTTTAAATGTGTCTTTTAAACAGTCCTAGCCTGCAGGTAAGAGGAAGATCATGGACACAAGAATATATTAACTGAGTCCAAGGACACTCGATGATATCGGTATGCACTATCTGCAAAAAAGGGTCGGCTACGCTGATGAATTATTCACAATGCTAAAATTAGCGCTTTGAATTTTATTGACTAAGTACGCTGCTTATTCGTATACTAATCCCGAAGCCTAGGGTCATGGTATCAGGATGAAAAGAGAAAGAATAGTTAACTTCCCTTTCGAACCTGACGACCCCCTGGCGCAGGTGAAGTAGAGTTTACCTGTTTCTGTGACCCTCGGCGTAGTAATGGTATAGTGTGGGTAGCACTGTGCCCAGCCGCCTTTACTTTCTCTTACTTAAGTCAGGTGCCAATCAGAGTTGGGTGGACTCAGTGATGTGTTATGAGTCTAGCCAGAGACCCGAACTCCAAGAGGAAGAGAAGACTATAGAATCTAGTTAAATACTAGTGTTACAACCCCGCAAAGGTTTTGTTGAAGTCAGTTTTCCCTCGGTCAAAAGAGGCTCGATAGCTGGGGACAGCAACCCATCTAGGAGAGACAACTCCAAAATCAAACAACTGCTGCCTTGTAGTTTGTTCTTGGTTGGACGAAGGTTATGGAAGCTTCCAAAAAGAAAAGCATGCAGAAATCGGAGTTAACAGTCAATATGGCGCATAGCGCATTGACCCTTAATACTTAATAGTATTGAAGGAATCACACGTACATCCTTAAGATTATAAAGGAAGAAAAGAGACGAAGAAAGATTTATCAATGATTAATATTTTTTTCCAATTGTTCAGTTTTCCAATTAATAGGCGACCCTGTTTGCAGTTTGATATGTATTTAAACAATGTTTTTTTTTGGGAAAGTTGAAATGGTGCAGCTGCTGTTTAATTATTTAAAAAATCAAATAATCATTTATCAACAAGCAAATATCTCACATTTTGAAGGTGTCGATTTTAAGGGGGCTAACTCATAAAATAAATTTACCTTTAGTTTTTTTTTAAAAACATGGTTGTCTACCCTTTA